TCTCCAAATTGTGTAAGATTCCAGATCACAATAAACAAATATACATAAATTTCCCAGGCCATTTGAGAAGAAATCCAAGTCAAAAATTCCCAATCTTCATCTCGAACAGTTTCCAACTTATATAATGCATTCTCGTTAGTTCTAGGCCTTGAAAACATTCTCTCGTTAAAATATTACCAGACGTATCAATAACCAATAAGATATATAAAGTTTAAGAAATTAAAAAAAAAAATTAAAAGAATTTAGTGGTCTCGTCATGTTATACATTTATATATGTATTTACGGTTTTTTTAAAGTAGTTCGTATAAAATCTTAAAAGTATTTTTTTTGTATGTTGATATGTTACACTCCAAATAAGGCTTATAAAAAACACCATTACCTTTATCGATCAATACTACATTTAAATTTAGAATTAGTGTGTGTATATCGCACAAAACTATTATCTTTTCTCAATTATCACACGTATTTTTATATAAAATCCTGAATTTTGAAAAAAAAACATTAAATATGGATATACGTATGGAAGATATTCGTGTAGTCGTTGCCATAGATTTTGGAACGACAAATTCTGCATTTGCTTTTGCGCACAAAGAAAAACCAGAAGAAACCGAAACGAATACCATATGGTATTTTTTTTATCCTTAACATTATTTCATATTATTTCGTATTAATACTTTATATATTTGATGTGTATTTATTTTTCAACAATAGGCCAGGTAGCAAAGGTATTTTTAAAACTCCTACGGCACTTCAATATGATTCGAAATATGAAAAGGTGACAGCTTGGGGTGTAAAAGCCTTAGTCGAATTTCAGGAAGACGCAGATGATGATAATGAAACTGGCCAACGTTCGAGACCTGTAGAATTATTTAAATTACATTTGTTCAATTCCAAGGATGAAGATAAACCTTGGTTACCGCCTCAATTAAATTACAAACAAGCAGTCAAAGATTATCTAACTGAAATGAGAAAATTGATTGAAGAAAGACTTTCTACAAGATGGAGCAATGTTAAATTTCCTGATCAAGTCAGAATTGTGATGACTATTCCTGCAGAATGGGTATTTTAACTTTTTTCCCATTTAAATTTTTATCGACATATATCGATATAGATCATAAGTTGATATTTATTTTTATACCTTATTAATCAGCCTCCACATGCTACTGGAATAATGCGTGAATGTGCATATAATGCTGGTTTATTGAATAAAAACATGTGTATCGATGATAATAAATCTAAACAATTTACTTCGTATCTTAAAGACTTTCACTACTACCGCCTTGATGGATACGATGATCACAAAAGAAGACTCATAGCTTTTGTTTGGGGTGAACTTGAAGCACGTGGATTAAAGCATCGATCAGAATTCAATCAACACATGAAAGAATTGCCAATAAAGCAAAAAGAAAAACTTCGAGCCATGGTTCTCGAAAGGATGAAAGCATTGGTTGATATATCACAACCCAACAACAAATCGCCTGTTATTTCAGGAAAAAATGGTAGCGATAGCCTAAAAGATAGGCTGGATATTTTGCAAAGTGAAAAGGATGCTCTCTTAGAACAAGTTATAGAATTACAAAAGGAGAATTCAAAATATCAAGCAACACTTGGTAATTTGACCAACCTTGGCTTTAATGACGAAGACTCAAATAACATTGTTAAATTAGATAAAGATGTTAAACATTTACAAGACTTACTCGAAGACTTTACGCTCGTTTCTGGTCCCGAATATGAAATCGATGTTGCCAAGTGCAATGAACTTTTATCATTTTACAAATGTTG